TATTAATATAACTTCGTTCCAGCTCTCCGAGTCTTCTCCCTGTTTGGTACATACTACAGTATATTTAGTCAAATCGAGTGTCAATTGTTTGTGTTCTAGGTTTTACAAATCTTATCAGTTATTTCTGTTCCTCCAAGTGCAAGAGCGAGATATTGCTTGGTTTTATGTACGGTAGTTAGTGAACATTGTTGGGGAATTTGCTTAAAGTTATTTTTCTATTTTAAGCAATTGGAGCATAAAATAAAGAATTTCCGTAGCTTTGCTTTATCTATCTCCAGTTCTGTAAACATTTTGCCTATACGGATTGCGTTCATTTCTGCATTCGCGTTCAGATAGGAGGACTGCAGTAGCCCGAATAGGACCCGATATAATGTTGACCTATATCAGAGGCTTTTTGAACACGAGAGAGAGGTACAGAGCCATAGTCCAACTGTGGCTTTCACTGAAACCTGGTTGGACGCAACAATTGTGGACTCGGAAGTCGTTCATCCCGGATACACCATGTTTCGAGGTGACAGAAACCCCGGACGGATTGGTGAAGGTGTAGCATTGTTCGCCCGATCCGGCGTCTCTGAGGTCCAGCTGGAAACTTACGCAGACCCACGAGGTTTTGGTGAAGCGATGTGGTGTCACGCCAAACTAACATCAGACGGATGTCTACATAGGGTATTGTATTGGACCCCAGCGGTAGCCGTCCATGAACTCCTGACTTCCCTGCCTAGATGAGTAGGCGACAGTCGATGCCTTATTCTTGGGGAATTGGACTGGGTCGCAAGCCTGACCAGGCCTGGCGCGGGTGACCCCTCTCGGGAATTGTTGAGTACCTTGCAAGAGTTATCCTTCTTTCAACATGTGCAGTCGCCGATACGGGCGAACGGGAATCGATCCTAGACCTAGTGTTGTCGCCGAGGAGTTCTGATGTTCAAGAGCAGTGGTGGATAGGAAAGTGCAGAAAGATGGAGAAGGCTGTTGCGATTGGTAATAGTCGCAATCTTTTCTATCTACTTAGGAATACGGGCCCTGAGAGAATAGGCGTGAGTTAATTGGGGAATCCGGTGGCACACTAATTCACGATCAGCAACGCCGTCTTGATCGATGTGCTGAACATTTCGAGGCTCAGTTCAACTGACCCCCATCGACTTCTGAACTATCATCCTCCACCGCGACTGAGCAAATACTGCCAGTTGATGCTAGTCTTCCATCTGAAATAGAGGTTTCCCGGGAAATAAGCCACCTCAAAAGGCATAATGCTTCCGGCCAGGGCGAACTCTCTAATCCGTTTTGAGGGACGGAGGTTCAGCCTTGCTTTCGGAGTTAACGAAACTCCTGGGCTCAGTGTGGGAGGGAACAGGTTCCAGCGGTGATTATACCGATTTACAAGAAAGGTGATAGATCCTCTTGTGAAAACCACAAAGAAATTCGTTTAATCGTCTCTAAACTTCTTTCTGGCATTAAACTGCCTCGATTGTCTGCCGCACGTGAACAGTGTACGCGTGAGAACCAGGCTGGTTTTAGACATGGTCGAGTTTATATCGACCACATCTTCACTTCTCGCCAAACTCTTAAGCACCGACATTCTTTTCGTAGACCCACCATTTCTATCTTCCTCTATCTGAAAGCGGCTTTCGACTCAGTCGACCGCTCTAAACTCGGGCGCTGCCTTTCTCTGATAGGTATGTCCGAGAAGTTAATTTCAATACTACTATCGCTTTATACTGATAGCCGAAGCCGAGTCCGGGCTTACGACACGTTTTCACCCGAGTTCACCACGGAAAGCGGTGTTCTTCAGGGTTGCCCTCTCTATGTTTTTCTATTCAACTTTGTTATAGGTTTGATTATGGAAACAGTCCTATCCTCGTGCAAGAATAGTGGCATCGATTTACTCCCCAGATGGTAAACTCTCTGATCTAGAGTATGCTGGCGATATTGTGCTACTACGTCAAGATCCAGGTAAGTTGCAAGCCTCTCTGGACAGCTTGAATACCACTCCTGTATATATTTGGTATACGTTTTGCACTTTCAAAGTTTAAAATATTACTACAAAACTGGGTTGGTCCAGCACCCAGCCTCACTCTAACTGGGGAAGTAATAGAGCAAATGGATAAGTTTTGTTGTTGGGCAGCTATATCTCACCTGGTGGACGCATCACGGATGGAGTCTCAGCTCGCATACAGAAGGCTCGATTGGCATTTGCCAACTTGAGACATTTGTGACGCCGTCGCCACATCCGGCTGTCTTTGAAGGGTCGATTGTATGCTGCAGCAGTTCGGCCAGTTCAGCTATATGGAGCAGAAACTTGGCCTTTAAGGAAACAGGATAAAGATAGACTGTTGGTATTTGAACATCGCTGTCTACGCAGCAGTGCACGAATCTGGTGGGGCAGCCGGACGAGCAATGCTAAGGTTAAGTGCAGAGCTTTAGGCAGTCACGGTCGCCCACTGGAGCAAGTGGTCGACCTCCATAGATTACGTTGGTTGGGGCATGTGTTACGCATGACGCCAAGTAGGTTGCCACGACAAGCGATGTTTGCCGAGGTAGGTAGTGGGTGGAATAAAGCCCAGTGCAGTGAAGCTAAGACCTGCCATGAGGGATGAAAACCCTAACCAGGAGTCTGGGCCACATAGATCCCGTTAGGTTCCCTGGCTCGGGACCACGGGATGATCGTAACCGATGCTTAGAGTTACTGAGCGATATGGCTGAGTGTCGTAAATAGTGTCGTTCGTGCATCTTCTCAACTTCCATGCTTCATTAATCCATTGAGCTTTTCAATTTTATCTCAGATCCTACGTTTAACCTTCCTGTCTTTCTCCTAATGTACATCCAAATGGGCAGCCTAAAGACAGCAACCAAAAGCGTCGCACTGAAATGCATGCTTAATGGTTGTTTAAACTGAACTGAACTCTCAGTTATTGTTTGTCCTTCACACTGTTCTGTTCGATACCCCAGTCCCACCCACTTATTGTTGTTGCTTTGGCGAAAATACACTTGCTGGATACAAGCATATAGATGAACTAATTATCGGATACCCATGCCTGACGAGCGGGAGAAACCACGAAGCCGGTCATGTGTTTCCAGGGAAATTTTGTTTGGTCAAGCAAGTTCCACTTTATCGTTCTCTCTCTCTCTCTCCCTATCTCTCTCTCTCTCTCTATATATATATATATTTATATATATAGTAATTCCCGATGGTTGCGACAGTAGCAAACGTTTCTTTTTCTGCAATCGAATGAGGTATATCGGTCTGCGGTAACTAGGGGAAGAAATGAACTGGTGCAAGAAAGTGCATGGGTAATCGTTGTAAAAACTGAAACTGAATCTTGCGGTTCTCGGAAAGGTTGGCCGAGATAACTATATCCTAGACATTCGTTTTCACGAACACTGGATCCTTAGGGTTTATGATGGTGAGGACCGTTTCTGTAAGCTCGATTTTGAGTGCTTCAAAGGACACTCGGGATTCCTCCGGTCTAGGCGGATGTACTTATTAAGTTTTACTGCTAGATGAGTTTATCGATTTGCCACTGAAAGCAAGCCACACCGTTCGTCATTTTGAACGGTATTTCACAAAGCTGATGCAAATTATTGTAGTCTTCACAGGTAACAGCCTGTAACGATTGATAAGGCAAACCAATCTTGTGGCTGCCTACTTGGTGCTTCATTGGTTTCTATTTACAATCATGATCTTGTTATGAAAGGTGGGGTGGGAGGAGAATGCGATCCCAATCAACTTTCTTCTATCCTACCTAAATTAAATTGTAGACAAAAATCTTATCCTGTCTGTTATCTTTTTTTCAGAGCATACTGTCCACTCATGGATAGCTCGGAGAGACGAAAGCTGAATCGTCTTTTACGAAAGCCTTCACATTCAGGTTTGAGTAAACCGTCCGCTGCAAAACACAAACTTGTTCCACGTGGCCTTCACAAACCTGTTCGTTCCACTGCTTCTGTCGCTGCCACTGGTGGTGGTGAGGATGAATCCAAGTCGCATGGTTTTAGTGTAGACCTAACAAACCTTTGTGCGGAAATGTGCGGTGTATCCGGTCTGCAACAGTCTGCTGCTCTGAGCCTCCGAAAACATCTCATGCAGATTTGTCGCCTGATGGTTCACAGCATACTACGTGTTATGGAGCAAAGTCGTCGCGGAGTTCCGCAAGCAGTGGATGTTGATTTAGCCTCGGTATTGATTGGGCTTGAGGTAAGTCTTTTTATCGTTCATATTTTTCTCCAAATGACTAAAGTTCCGTGGTCGAGCCTTGCTACTGTCACGGGAATTTTTTACCTGCGTGTTCATCCAAAATAGTTTGTCACTAATTTACGCAACCTAGGTTACTGGGTATCTTAAATGAAGAGTAAGATTCTATGACTTCGAGGTTCCTTCCTTAGTCCGTTGGTTGCACGGAAGCCGAAGCCGAGTTCGAGCTTACGGCACTTTTTCACCCGAGTTCACCACGGAAAGTGGTGCTCGACAGGATTGTCCTCTCTCCTTTTCTATTTAACTTTGTCATAGATTTAATTCTTGAAACAGCCTTATCCTCGTGCAAGGATGGCGGTACCGATTTACTTCCGGGTGGCAGACTATCTGATATAGAGTATGCAGGCGACATTGTGCTACTGCGCCAAGATCCAGGTAAGTTGCAAGCTTCTCTGGACAGCTTGAATGCGACTCCTGTATATGTTTGGTATGCGTTTTGACTTTCAAAGTTTAAAATATTACTACAAAACTGGGTTGGTCCAGCACCCAACCTCACTCTAACTGGGGAAGTAATAGAGCAAATGGATAAGTTTTGTTGTTGGGCAGCTATATCTCACCTGGTGGACGCATTACGGATGAAGTCTCAGCTCGCATACAGAAGGCTCGATTGGCATTTGCCAACTTGATACATTTGTGACGCCGTTGCCACATCCGGCTGTCTGTGAAGGGTCGATTGTATGCTGCAGCAGTTCGGCCAGTCCTGTTCTACGGCACAGAGACTTGGCCATTAAGGGAACAGGATAAAAATAGATTGACGGTGTTCGAACACTACTGTCTACGTAGCATTGCACGAATCTGGTGGGGTAATCGGACTAGCAATGCTGAGGTTAGGCGTAGAGTTTTAGGCAGTCCCGGTCGTCCACTGGAGCAAGTGATTGACCTTCATAGATTACGCTGGTTGGGACGTGTGTTACGTATGTCGCCTGATAGGTTGCCGCGGCGAACGATGTTTGCCAAGGCTGGTAGAGATTGGAATAAGATAAAGGGTGGTCAAACTAAGGCCTGCCATGAGGGTATGAAAATCTTAAGCAAGAGACTAAGTCACATGGGCCCCGTTAGGATCCCTGCCTGGGGAACTCGGAATGATCGTAACCAATGGTTAGAGACACTAAGTGATATGGCTGGGTGTCGCAAACAGTGGCGCTCATGCATCCACTCGTTATTCTCCTAACACCACTCTATATGAATTCCGCATCTTCCGCTTGAATTTGCTTATATATTCCAATCTTCCTTTGGCTCTTTTATCCAACCAAAAGACAGCAACCAAAACCGGCGCGCGAAAGTGCATGGTTCATGGTTGTAAAAACTAAACTGAACTGAACTCGTTGCACGGTACTATATAATGGAAAGGAAATGGCATCGCTTAAAATGAAATGCTTTACTGATAAAAAGTGGAAACCACAGTTCACCGAAATAAATCTCCCGCAAATTTATCAAACCGCCTATAATTGTGCTCATGATTTCCATAGTTCAGCATAGTGCAACCACATCACTTTGTTTTCGTGAACTGGTCTTTGTTAATCGCCATTCACATCCGGGGACTACACTGATGCATGTTAGCTGAACATTATTCACACAAGGGAAGAAAAAAAACATTCGGATTTCACGTTCCTCCTGTTCGGAGTGAATGCGGAGAAGTAGTAATTTATTGATTAACTTCACCGTTTGAATGTCGGAAGCGTTGAGGAAACCAAGATATGCGGTTTTCAGGTTGTTAAAGCGATAAAACGAAATCAGTGCAAATCATCGTCATTCTGTTTTTTGTCCGGTCTTCTGTAACAAGCGATAGGCTACAACAAAAGATAGTTCAGTGTCTGCAATGAAATGGTTTTGTATCCGCATCATCCCTATAGCAAGAATTTGCTTTACCTGCTTCAGGAATACGCTCAGACGATTGAGGAGGAACCGAAGGAATAGTGTAAGGTTGAAAGTAATGTCAGTGTGATTATAGGGAATTTAGATACAAAGAGATTGACTAGATGCACGAGCGCCACCGTCAAGAGCACGTTGTAATGTCTCTCAATTTCTAACCATTAGTTACAAATAACTCGAGGTCCCCATCGAGGACCTATATGATCAAGTCTCCTGGTCACGGCTCTCATTCCATCATGTTAAATCTTACGTTAACCACCTTTGACTTTTCCCCATCCTTTATCTACCTCGGCAAACTCCGCATGCCTTGACAATCAATCTATTTGGTGACATGTGTAGAACTTGTCCCAGTCAGCATAGTCTATGGAGATCGATCACTGCGCCCAAATCTTACATTGCCTATCCGGTTGCCCGCGCAGACTCATGAGATGTGGCGGTGTTCGAACATGGATAATTTATCTTTGTTCCTTTCTCGTGACGGCCAAGTCTGTCCACTATATACCAACCCTGGCCGAACTGCTGCAGCATATATTCGACGTTTCATAGACAACTAGTTGTCACGACGGCGCCGGAGATGTCTCAAATTGGTCATTTTAAACCGAACCTTCTGCTTGCCGACGCTTCATCTGTGATGTATCTACCAGGTGAAATGTAATTGCCGAAATTGCAAAAGTTGTTTAATTCCTCTATTAGTTTCACAGTTCGGGCAAGTTTGGGATCTGAAATAAACTAGCCGTCCAGCAGCGTTGCCCACTCTTGGTGCCTATCCGATTGGATTCTATATAAGTTCACTAGACGCACTTCTGATTTGTCCAAGGATCCTCATTTGAGGATTGAAATCGCCGGTGATTAATATGGTGCTCATGGCGCGAACACTTTGTACTAATTGAAAAAGGTCCTTTTATAGTTCATTCCATAGTACAGACACATTATAATCAGTCGGTACATACACGTACAGGACTATTAAGTACCGAGGCTTCGTTCTCTAACTGTGGACTCGTGTTGAATCACAAGGCGTACAGCTTTCAGTCTACTACTGACTGAAATCCAGTCAAGATGCAAGAGGGTAGCCGTGACACTTGGCGCAACCGCGAGCGTCAGGTGCCGAATCGCTTGACACACCAAAGATGAACCATAAGGGTGATGTTGGATCTGAAAATTGTATCATTGTGTATTCAATAAAAGGAAGTAAAATTAAAATATGTAATAAAAATAAAAGCACAGTCATGATTGAAGAGGCATGTTCTAGAGACACTGTATACGTTTAAATTGAAAATGTGAAGAGTTCCGGCTAAGACAGCTTGTTGACTGAACTGATTGACTGTGCGGATATTGCGTTCAGAATAGAATAGTTTTTGTTTCATCACCTTATTGGCCGATGATCTATCTAGCTTACGCGATGATAGCTGTCCGCGTCAATACTGTACGATTAAGTATTCGTTCACGACTCTAGCT